GGCTGGCGCGTTTGGCCGGCTACCGGGCAGGTTCGGGACGTCAGTCTGTCCGTCGATCTGGACGGAGTTTCCAGATCGCGGCGCCAGGATGGGGCTGGCGCCGCTGCCGCTATTCCTGGGGCTCTTCCTCCGCGCGCTCTGGAGAGAAGGTGAGCTCGCAGACCCGGGGCCGGGGGCCGGGGGCCGGGGGCTCGCGGCTGGGAGCTCGTGGAGCGCACCGGGCTGCTGGGCGAGTTTGCAAACATCCCCGCCCCGCAACGGTGCGAGGGAGTGAGGCGCTGGGGAGCCCACGCAATCGCCGCCCGCGGCCCCTCCGGCGAGTGTCGCGAGGGCACCCAGGCTGGATCTGGGGCGCGCGTTCCGGCGGGCGCCGAGGGCTCCCCTTCTCCGCGGTGGAGAAATCGAGCTCGGCCTGGCGCACCGCACGTCCAGCAGTTTTCGGCTGTGGAGAGCCGAGGAGGTGGCGGGGTCTGGTCCGGAATCAGAACTTTGCCCGAGACCGCGCAGCGCAGTTGCGCCCGGAGTTTTGGGGGCTCTACGCGGGTCTCCGGTGTGTGGGGGGGGGCTAGAGCTGCGGGTCCGCCAGGGCTGGCCGCGCAGGACAGCGGTGGCCCCCTCTGCAGAGGCACGCTGGGAGTGTGGGGGCCCGGAAAAGGGGCGCATTCTTTTCGCCCCTGTCGCGGCGGAGCAGAACCTAATGTGCTTGGGCAGCGTCTAGGTGCACCGCGAGCCGCGGCGGGTCGTCACAGGCGCTTCAGTCTGAGATCCGGACTGACCATCGGCGGCGGCGAAGGCGGGGAAGGCGGGGACCTTTCGCACCCACAGCTTGTTGGGAGCGTGGGTGATCCGCAGAGTTCAAGTCGGAGCGCTTCTTGGGAAGCTGGGAGGAACTTGCTGGAAACTTTCCCCCAAAGGAAAAGCAATGGGAAGAAGGAATGGTAAAGAAACACATCCCAAGTGCTTTTAACTGACACGTTTCGGTTGGCACCCAGAATGGGGCTTTTGTCTCTTTTGTCCACGAATGTGGTTAAGTAGCTTCCACCTATTCCATTCATAGATGTTTTGTAAGAATACCTGGAAAGTTCAGTTGGTACTCACGCAATTTAGATTTTTTTTTACCCTTTGAATTTTTTTTTCCTTTGTAAACTCATTTGTTCAAATGAAAAAGTTCTGAACAATACAAGGTCTTTTGCACATTAAATTACATAATAAGTCACATAAATTACATAAACAGTTTATAATTGGGGGCAACATAACAATTTGCAACAAACATCAGGAGCCAAAACCAAGCAAAGAACTAAAGCTGCTCTGTTCTCTCCCTCCCTCCCTCCCTCACCAAACCCTCAGAAATTCCTCGGCATTCCTGCCAGGTCCGTTTTTATAAATCTGCTGCAAAGCTGTTAGTTTTCGCTGCCACTCATGTGCTGAAAAATTAGCGGACAAGGAATGAGAACAATCGTGTCGGTGAAGGATGTTTAAAAGTTGCCTGTCTTTATTCTCTAGTTTTTTTTTTTTTTTAAGCTGCAGTAAAGAACTTTTGTAGATGACAATCAGCCATATTCCTGTGATCATGAAAAACCTTCTCACAGGTCCACTCAGCAGGAAGAAGGAAAAGTTTCTCCAATTTTCCTTCTACCTTTTGCTTTTTTATCACGAAGTTTACCTGTGAGCTGTCTGCCAGTGAGTGTTCCCTCTTGCCTTGTAAAAAGCTGAAAGAATGGAATTCTCATTGGCAGAATTAGAAGTGAGAGTCCTGGAGAAAGTGGCTAAAAATGACCCTAAATAGTTAGAGTCTAAAATAACTCTAAAAAGTTAGAGACTTCATCGAGTTGTAAGGTTTTCATCATGTATGTCGTGGGTCTAAGTGCAGGGCTGGCCAGAGAGGGGGCACAGACGGGATGTGACTGTGTGTAGAGCTTAGGCTGTAGAGGAATGGTTAAATAACAACAGTGCAGGCACCGCTGTAACCGGGGAACACGCCCCTAACCGTGCACACATGCACTAAGCTGGGAGGCAGTGAACGGCCACTGCTGGAATTTCAAGGCTTTCTGCTCTGTCTCTGATGGGGGTGCCATTGAGCAGCAAAAAGGAGGTGGAGGAGGAGAGACATCTGGATGTAAGTGAAGGCATTAAGAGCGGGTAGCTTATGACCAACCCGTGTGTGCAGCTAAACTCAACCCACTGAGCCAACCAGACCCTGCTTTTAAAATGTTTTAATGTTAACATTTCTCTCCCAAACTGACACAGTTAATGTGTGTTCCAACATAGCGTTAGCATTTCCCCAGGGAGAACTTTTAGGTTGTCCTTTTTCTTGTGGACTTTATAACAATGGCCTCAAATGATTTTTGGAAGTCAGCAGGGCATATTTTAGCCAATAATGAAGTTGTTTTAAAATATTTATTTATTTATTTATTTGAAAGTCAGAGTTACAGAGAGAGAGGAGAGGCAAAGAGAGAGAGAGAGAGAGAGAGAGAGAGGTCTTCCATCCGCTGGTTCACTCCCCAGTTGGTCGCAATGGCTGGAGCTTCACTGTTCCAAAGCCAGGAGCCAGGAACTTCTTCTGGGTCTTCCACGTGGGTGCAGGGGCCGAAGAACTTGGGCCCTCTTCTACTGCTTTCCTAGGCCATAACAGAGAGCTGGATCAGAAGTGGAGCAGCCAGGACTCGAACCGGCGCCCATATGGGATGCCAGCACTGCAGGTGGTGGCTTTACCCACTACGCCACAGTGCTGGCCCCATAACAAAGCTTTAAAGAGTTATTTTAAGGAGTAATTTTAAAGAGTTAAGCTGAGGGGAACACTTGTTTTTTGTTTGTTTGTTTGTTTGTTTTTTTAGCAAACTGAAGCAGTGTGTAGCTGACCCTGGACAAAGGGCCTGTGAGTGACCAGTCAGTGCTATCAATAAAGCGGCTGACTCTCGATGCCCATGAATTGGGTCCATGCTGCCGGGTGGACGGCCTGAGCGGGGACCTTCAGCACATGGGTGCCCCGGGCCACTTCCCACACATCAGCCAGAAGCAGATTGTGACAGGTCTGATTGCGTTGTCCTCTGAAACACCTCCCATGGCTTCCCACTCCTTACCAGAGTTTTCCAAGACTCCCAGGCCCCTCCCCTCCCTCTTTGACTCATTTCCAGTCCATCCCACTTGTTCCCTGTGCGCAGTCACCTGCACCTTCTTCCTAGCAATCAAATGGCCTTTGCAATCACTGTTTCCCGGCCGGCTCCTTCTCATCCTTGAGTTTCAGCTCAGATGTTTCCTTTGAGGGGCTTTTACACGTGGCACCTCTCGCTGGAGTTCCACACCCTTCCTCCAGGGGCCTGGTCTTGTTCTCGGCTAGCAAGGTGCACAGCCCATGGAGGCACTCGTGAATACCCGTCTTTGATCTGGTGCTTCTCCCCCTTCGTTCTTCCTCCTGGCTTTCCCAGAAACAGAGCAGTGTGGGACTTAGCTGACAGAAAACAATCTTTACCTTCTCAGTGGTGCCAAAGTGATCTCATTAATGGAGAAGTTAGGAAATTAAAAGAAAGAAGACAAGTTTTCAGACTGTCTGAACCCCAAACATATTTTATACTCTAACTACTTCAGCTTGGGAAAAAAAAATATCCAAAGCCAGTTTGCATGTCAGAAACACTGTGTTCACAGCTCCTGTCCGGAAGCAGGTTGCCTTGAATGCCTTGACTTTGGTGCATGGTCACTTTCATCTTAACTCGGAACTCTGGGTTAGTATGCAGCTTAGCAGAGGGTTGGTTAATCATGGTGAAAACTGAAAGAGAGAGTTCTCCCGGTGAGCTTCTTGGGATAGTTAGCAGTGGCTGGTGTCTGGGGTCTGAGAGAGGATGGGCTAACTCTCAGGATCTCTTGCCCCTTTGGGTGCAGTGGGATTCCACGATATTAGTCACATTTCGAGGTAATTGTGGTAATTGTTTCTCCTGGACAAAAGGTGTTGGGGGAAGGGCCCTTGTCTCACTGAAGTGTGTCCTGAATTACTCCCTGAAATAAGAGGACAGAACTGTGGTCCACCCTCCATTGTTCATTGTGCTTTGGGGAAGGGGAGGCAGGGTACCCCTCCCACCCCCCCTCCAGTGCTAAAGTCCTTGCTGCAGTTCTTTGGGATTTTATTTTCTAGAAATTATGTACCAAAACCTACCATGGGGCAAGCAGCTGAGGGGGGCGTCTCTCCCCTCCTACCTCGCACCCCCACCGTGCACATTGAGTTCAGGCTTGACACAGCTCAGGAATAACTTCCTGTCCTGTTCCCCTCAGGAAGGCATAAAAACGAAGGCCAGTTTCTGCCCAGCTCTCCCACAAAACTCCACTCCAAAGTGGGTGTGGTGTTTGTTTTGCTCTGTGTGTGTGTGTGTGGTTTTTTTTTTTTTTTTTTTTTTTTTTTTGGTGTTGGTTTTTTAGGTCCATTTTCCTTTTGACCACCTCAAACTGAGTTTTCCAGCAGAGGGCTTTCAGAGACTGCGTGAAACCAGGATTCTTAGAGTAAAGTGCAGGTGTGAATGTGTGTGTGTGTTGTGTGTGTGTGTGTGTGTGTGCAGGATGGTTCTGTAGGAAGTGGAAATGGCAAGCCCCCAGGCTTTCAGCTTGGTGGCAGGTGCAGGCCACACCCTCAGGTGCCCCAGCGGCACTGCTGACCCTCTCTCTCTCTCTCTCTCTCTCTCTCTCTCTCTCTCTCTCTCTTTCTCTCTCTGGGTATTTGTTAATCCCTGACCAGAGGCAACCCTATTCTTTCTCTTCCTCCTTCCTTGTTCCCATCCTGCTGCTTCCAGCTAACAAACTGAAAGCTCTCACAGGAGAATTCCAATAGGCTCAGCCCCCATCCCCACTTCAAGAGCAAGAGCACTGAGCATTTGTGGACTCCAGCACTTTTTCCTCCCCTTGTTAGTTTTCTTTGTGTGAGCCGGGTCTGTTTAACGGGGAGAAGTGGGGGTTCTCAGCCACAGCAAGGGCCCAGGGCTTCCCAAATTTTGTGACACCCCTACAGCACCTTCTCTCCTGAAGCAGCATTATCCCACTCTTGGGCCTCTGTAGGCAGCAGGGTCCCGGGACCAGGGCTCAGGAGAAGCCCTGAGCTGTTGTATCCTTGTCCCATGACACGTGTTCAGGTCCCAGTGTTTGAAAGCTTACACTAGGAAAGGGTGAT